AAGGAGGCAGCCTAGTCACTGTCTGCCTGTAGAGGCTTTGCTGAGCTGCTGTGGGCTCTGCCCAGCTGCTGAGTGAACTTCCCTGCAGTCTTGTTTATATGAGTGTAGTTAGAACTGCTTTGGTGATGGTGGCCCGCCTCTGTTGAGGCGGAGTCTCTCTGCAGTGGCGGGTTGCCTTGGCAACCGCGGGCTGCCTCAGCAGTGGTGGGTTGCCTTGGTAACGGCGGGCTGCCTCAGCATTGGCTGACTACCTCCATAGTGGTGGGTTGCCTCGGTAATGGCGGACGCCCCTCCCCCACAGAGCTGGACCGTCCCGGGTTCAGCTGCGCTTGCTGTGAAACTCTCAATCCAGAGTTTCTGGTTGCTGTTCTTTTGTGGGGGTGGGACCAGCCGAGACTGATCGCCTGGCTCCCTGCCTCAGAGCCTTTTTTAAGTTGGTGTTCCAGGCACCTGTTGAAGAGGTGCCGGGGTCTGTTTGTTTTCCCCTGTGGCCACTCACTGTGCTGGCTTAAACAGTGGCACTGAGGTTTGTGGCGCTTTTTTTTTTTGCCCTGGAATCTACTATCCTGGTTCTCTGCTCAGTCCCCTTTTTAAACAGACAAATGGGCGACTTCCCGTGGCTCCAATAGCCAGTCAAAAGGGCACCCAGACCGGTGTATTTTGTACGGAGAACCGCTGCTCCGGGGCGCCGACAAAGCAGCCGCAGGGGGCAAAGCAGCGGCGCCGGCTGGCACAGCCACGCTGGCCGAAACAGCCGCACTGGTGACCTGTGGAGCTCCTCCGCCTGGGAATCTCCTAGTCTGTGGGCAATAAAAATGCGGCGTCCACTCACCCTCTGTGCTTTCACTGGGAGCTGCAATCCTGAGCTGTTCCTAAACGGCCATCTTGGATCCTCCCCCATAACATTTTTATATGTTCTGTCCAGTCTTTAGTGCATACTAATATGCTGACATGCTTACCCTACCATAAGGTTATGTACAGAGATAAATATAGATACATGTTTTCATTGAGATAATATTATATACCAGTTTTATATCCTGCTCACTCTCTTTCACACTTTAACATGGTATCATAAGCTTTTCCTCATTTCATTAAATGATTTCTGGGAGATGCCATTTTGTAAGGATGTGTAATTTTCCATGGTATAAAAACACCACAGCTTATATAACTATACTTCTATTTTTGAACACTTAAGTGTTTCTCTAATTAGTTATTAATACAAGCAATACTACAGTGATTGTCCTTGCACATAGATCTTTGTTTACAGGTCTACTTGTTCTCATAGACTAGCTTTCTAGAATATAAATTACTACTCAAAAAACATAAACCCTTTTCACCCTCCCTCTACATTTTCATGTAGGCTTCCTTGGCTTTCCCTCCATTGTGACCTGCTGGTGTTTTGTTCACAATTTAAATACAGAACTTATCACAATATATGCCAATTTTTTTGTCTCTGTCAATTAGAAAACATGTGTCCTGAAGGTAGGGCCGTGTCTTTTGATTTGTCATATACTCAGAATCAGCACAAACCTGGCCTGGTTGAATAAGCTATTCTTATTTATTTTAGCACTTCATAAAATTCAAAACATTTATACATATATATGTTTACATTTATGTTTATACTTTTCTCTCTAACAGGATGGCATTTTGGGTGCAGTTAATCATTGTCAAAACACTGTATTATCAGTTCCCAATCTCGTGCCTGATTCGTATTTTGATGCTTTCACCAGCCCTTATATTAACAACAAACTTGAAGAAAAAACCTGTGGAACTGGGCCAAGCTTGGCAGCAGTGTTTGAGGATGATAAGAATTTTCACACAATTATTTCTCAAATAAAGGTATATTTACTCTGATGAAAACTATTTTATAATATTCTCAATATAGATGAAATTGAGTAATATATATATTTTTTCCTTTCTTATTTTTAAATGTTCTATATGTGAAAATTGGAATATGCCTAATCTCTAAATGGTAAAATTTGATGATAATCTTTGTTCTATAGAAATTGTTCGTTAAGCATGAAATAATTTTCTAAAAGCATCAAAATATCTGGAGAAACAGCTATGTATCATTAGCGATCCATGTGCATGTGTTTTTAGGGAAGTAACCCTGGCTGTTGATGCTGAGACACAGGCAGAGCCTTTACTAAAGTCATTTTTTTCATTACATGTCTAATGTTTTATTAAAACAGAAGCATAGTGTTTCGCTATTTTAGGCCCTTTAAAAAATAAATATAATGGCATCTATCCATAGCCCCTGAAGAGTTTGAAAATATTATTCTCCACATTAAAATTTTTATCTTAGATGTCCCAATTTTTAAACTCAGAACCACACTTATCGAGGTGATTGATGTGAGGAGGGAAAGAATAGCATTATTCCTTGGCTTGTTTCTCTCCTTCATCTCTGGGTAACCTAATTTCCTCTTTGGAGAATAGAAATGCAGCCCTCAACATACTGCAAATGCCTTTTGTGCTTGACACCAAAGTGCTACTGTAATTCCCACACTTAAAATTTACCCGTTTGTCAGTCATAAATATCCATTATATATACATTACTATGTAACTTAAAATTAGCAGTGTTTTAATCTCTTTATTTCATCAAGATAATGGTTGTAACTGTCATAGTATGATTTTAAAAGCAAACAACATTTTCCATCTACTACTGTCTCTGTTTATGGTGGAATTCTTAGCTACATTATTTTAAATCATCAGTTCAAAAGTTATAATCTCCCACCATGTTAGTTTGGCCCCTTTCATAATTTTAACTTTGCAGATTGACTCTATGAAATAACAAATTGACATATGACATATGGTCCGACTCCAAAATTTCATCCTAGTTCTTTGTTTCTTTTGCATTAATACTTATACTAAGAAGGGTATTCTACAATCTTATTTCATTCACTACCAGATTTTCTGGCACCAAAATGGTTTTCTGACTCTTCAAATTTCTCTCCCTTAGACACCTATTCTTTTAATTATGGCTATAACATTTGTAATTAAAAGTTATATTTTCAATTCAGAGAGCCAAGGATAATGGCAACTGTCTAAATATGAATCACCCACCTATCTTCCAAAATTAATAAGAACATACAAGAAAAACAAATAAAACTAAACAAAATTTATGCCTTTAGCAAGTAACTGAAAGAAAGAGAATACCCAAATGTCAAATTACGTTTAAGTTGAAAAATAAACACAAATACCAATGAACCTTCTTTCTCATGCTCCTACCACAGCCATTGCAGACAGGGAGGCCAGTCCTTGGGAAATCTACAAAAGAGAGAAGCAAGTAGCTATCAGCAGGCCTGAGGTTAATCTAAAGTCACAGCCAAAAAGAAGCTCACCCTATATCCAAAAATAATTTTTTAAAAGTGTATGGTATATCAGAGGACTGACTACTGGAAAGGGACTTAAAAATTCGAGCTATTCAAGATGGCATTAGTTCTGGGGGAGGAAATAATGTTAAAAATAAAAATTTAAAAATTTCTAAAGAATATGAGGCATTATGTGACCATTGGATGATACAGAGGAAATGAAGCAACTACTGAAAATGTAAGTTCTGCAAGACAAAAAAGTACCTACTTGGAAGGCTGAGGTGGGAGGATCACTTGAGCCCCAGAGGCAAAGGCTGTAGTGAGCCATGATCATGCCAGTGCCTGGGCAGCAGAGCAAGACTCTGTCTCAAAAAAAAAAAAATCAAATAAGTGAGAATATATCCAACTTTTTCCCATCACCATAAAATAAAATAAAACAGACTTCATTTTGATCCACTGATAGAACATAATTCTCTTAAACTAAAATTTTATAAATCACCCCAATCCATGAGCTAAAAAAATTAAAATAAATTAACTACATGCAAGTCTGCTAACAACCATGAAGCAAAAGCAACACTAAACACAAGTAAATATTCTCAAAGAAGCACTCAAATAACAAAAAGCCACATTGAATTAAAAATTCAAGATTCAAAATACAAGTGGAAGGGAAAAAAGACAAAATCAGAAATGAAGGCTAAATTACATAGTACTCAAAGGAGAATAAGTTAAAAAGTTTAACATGAGTATAGAAGAATGATGGGAAAAAATAATGAGTATAGAAGAAAGGTAAGAAAAAAACAAGAGAATGAATGAAAATAAGATAAGAGAAATCAGTAAAAGGGGTCAGAGAAAAAAAGTATTGTAATGGAAGAGAGGCAAAGAAGAAACAACACACATATAATTGGAGTGTCTGTAAGCGAGAAGCAAAAGAAGAGGATAAAGCAAACATTTATAACTATAGTTCAGGAAAAGAAAATTTGAATCTACACATTGAAAGGGCCTACAGAGTTCCTTGGAAAATAACCCACAACAATCAACTCTGAGATATAGCTTTTTAAAATTATTAGATTTTAAATCTAAAAAAATTTTTCTACGGGTCTTACAGAGGTAAGAGAATTAGACTAGCATCAGACTTCTCAAAACAACATACAAAGTGAGCCAATAGTGGAGGAGCATTTTTAAAAGAAACTCATGGAAAAAAAATGTGAATCAAGACTTTTATCTAGCCAAGCAGGTCCTTTAAGTATCAAGGCTATACAAAAATAGTTTTCAACATGTAAGAACCCAGGGAATTTTGTACCCATTAGGAATCTGCTACAGGATACGTTTCATCCAGCTAAGAAATAACTTTGGGGGAAAAAATCTGGTGGGGAATATTTAACATATTTAATTGTAGATCTATCTAAGCCTAAAACAAAGATATAGACAAGAATAGGAGACTAGTATATGAATGTATGTTTTAATGAAGTAGAAATAATACAACTTTTAAAATAGAGAAGGAAGAGAATAAGAGAAAAGTAGAATGGGGTTATTGATTGATGTACAGTTAATAGGATAAAATTAAAGAATATCAGTGAAAACCAACAAATAAAAATATAAAAGGTTAATGAGGAAACAAGTGACTAATGGTATTTTTAAAAAATATATTGTCACTCAGAGAAAGAAAGAAGCTCACAAATAACAGTAAGACACATAGAAAATAATATGACCAAGTTGGGACCAAATATATCAGTAATGTAATGAATATAAATGAGTTCAATTCATCTATTAAAAGAAAAAGATTTTCAATTTGGCTCACAAGGCAAGACAAAACAATATGCTGGATACAAGAGAGAAATCCAAAACAAAATGATTTAGAAAGACTAAAAATGAAGAAATCCTCAATGTTGTAGGGGCAAATTTAAACAATAAGAAAGTGGAGCTTGGGATCCTGTAAGTCAGCGATCCTTAATGCCAGATGCTATGATTTTCTAGGAGACCTCACAGGACTTAGTATATAACTGTACTCATGGCTATGATGTATTACATTGTAAGGATATAAAGCAAATTACAAAGGGAAGAGGCACATGGGGTAAAGTTCAGAAGAAACCAGACACAGCTTCCAAGAGTCCTCTCCAGTAGAGTCATGCAGCAGGCACTTAATTCCTCCAGCAGTGGATTTTGACAACACAAGTGAAATATCACCTACCAGGGAAGCTCATTAGAGTCTCAATGATGAGGGTCTTATTTGAAGACTGGCTTGTTTTTGGTAGAATGATATATTTTCCTTTGGGTATTGATATGAGTTGGCTGTGTGCCACCCAAATCTCATCTTGAATTGTAGCTCTCATAATCCCCATGTGTGGTGGGAGGGACCTGGTGGGAGGTAATTGAATCATGGGGGCAGATTTTCCTGGGCCATTCTCGTGTTAGTGAATAAGTCTCATGAGATCTGATGGTTTTATATAGGGCAGTTTTCTTGCACATATTCTCTTGCCTGCCACCATGTAAGACTGCCTTTGGTCCTCCTTTGCCTTCTGCCATGATTGTGAGGTCTCCCCAACCATGTGGAACTGTGAGTACATCAAACCTCTTTTTTTTTTTTTTTATAAAGTACTCAGTCTTGGGTATGTCTTTATTAGCAGTGTGAGAACAGACTAATACAGGTACATACCCAATAATGGGATTGCTGGGTCAAATCATAGCTCTGTTTTAAGTTCTTTGAAACTGCTTTTCATAGTGGATGAATTAATTTACATTTTCACAACTGTGTATAAGCATTACCTTTTCTCCATAGCCTCCCCGGGTATGGAGAAATAACTGTTATTTATTGGCTTTCATAATAGCCATTCTGACTTATATGATGAGATGGTATCTCATTGTGGTTTTGATTTGCATTTCTCTGATGATTAGTTATAATGAGCATTTTTTTCATGTTTGCTGACTGCTTGTATGTCTTCTTTTGAGAAATGTCTATTCATGTCCTTTGCCCATTTTTTGATGCATTGTTTATTTGCTTGTTGATTTAAGTTTTTAATAGATTCTGGATATTAGACCTTTGTCAAATGTATAGTTTGTGAATATTTTCTCCCATTCTGTAGGTTGCCTGTTTACTCTAATTGATAATTTGTTTTACTGTGCAGGTGCTCTTTAGTTTAATTTGGTGCCACTTGTCAATTTTTATTTTTGTTGCAATTGTCTTTGCAAACAACCAAAAATTCTTTATCAAGCCTATGTTGAAAAGGATATTTCCTAGGTTTTCTTGTAGGAATTTTATAGATTGTCATTGTACATTTAAATCTCTAAGCCATTTTGAGTTAATTTTTGTATATGGTGAAAGGTAGAGGTGCAGTTTCATTCTTCTGCATGTGGCTAGTGAGTTATTTGAGCACCATTTATTGACTAGGGAATCACTTCCCCATTACTTGCTTCTGTCAGCTTTGTCAAAGATTATATGGTTGTGGGGATGCAGCTTTATTTCTGGGTTCTCTATTCTGTTCTATTGGTCTATGTGTCTGTTTTTGTACCAATACCTTGTTGTTTTGTTTA